TTATTATTAATAATAATAATAATAATAATTTTATATAATAAAAATAATAAAAATAATATAATAATAAAAAATAATAATAATATAATAATAATAATAATAATAAGCAGTAATAATAATAATAATAATACTAGAGGTGTATATCGTTGCTAGGGATCACAGGATTCTTCACACAAACTTGGGAAATATCTCCCTCTCTCTCGGTTTTCATTTATTTCCTTGGCAACATTTTTATTTCCCCCTCCCTCAGCGTAATTTCCCCTTATTTCCCGCTACTTGCACCAGTGCCTCTTTCATAACAATTTATGATGATGATGAAAAATAATAATAATAATAATAAAAATAATAAATAATAAAAAAATAATAATAATAATAGTAATAAGAACCGAGATATTAATACCCCAAACATACACAATGCTCCTGGCAGACATATATATTATATATATATATAATATTATATATATATATATATATATATATATACTATTAAAATATATTATATATATAAAATATATATATATATAAAATATATTTATATGTGTGTGTGTGTGTGTGTGTGGTATTACTGACATTGTATGGCTAACTCAGTTTGTATACAAGTTTGTATGAAACATCAATACATTATACATTATACAATTCACACAAATACACATGCTGACTGAGTATATAATTTACATACTAGTTTATATTTATCTATTAACATTAGCTAAAAAAATAAAGGCTGTGACAGAAGGAATGAGAAATTCAGATATTTCAACATTGTAGGCCTACTCAGGGGGTGGGCCTATAGTGCTTTCCACAAACAAGACTAAAATCTTAATTAACCTACATATTAAGAAAATAATTAATAATAATTGACGTAGAATGAGGGTTACACTGGAATAAGGCCACAGCATTTAAAGGAAATGGTTAATCCAGTTATTGGGGAAATTGCAGAGACACTGCTTTCAGAGATCACAAGGTTCGTCAACAATTCCTTGGCTGGTCTGATCCCTGATGAAATTAGGCCTTTCTTTTTTGGTGCAACACTTTGTGCACTTAAAAAGAAGGATGGAGGAATTCGGCCAATTGCAGTAGGCAACACCTTACGCCGCCTCGTATCCAAAGCTGCTGTCCGAAGTATTCGTGCACAGGCAGCCATGATGCTTCAACCAAACCAGCTTGGCTTTGGGGTCTCTCAAGGAAGTGAAGCAGCGGTTCATGCAACAAGGGCGTATATCAACAACCTGCCTGAGGACAATGCAGTGGTAAAATTAGATTTCAAGAATGCGTTCAATCTCCTGAAAAGAGACGTGGTATTAGCAGCAGTACAAGAACATTTCCCTGGTCTCTTCCCTTTTGTTTCAGCCGGGTATAGCAAGGAATCAATGCTTCTCTTTGGAGAGCATGAAATTACATCATCGGAGGGTGTCCAACAAGGAGATCCTCTTGCACCATTTCTCTTCTGTATAGCAGTTAGGGAAATCACAGTCAGACTGACCAGCGAGCTAAACATCTGGTTCCTAGATGATGGCACACTAGCAGGTACAAAAGAGTCCCTCCTACATGACCTTACACAGGTAATGACACGGGGACAGGAAATGGGTCTCATCCTGAATCCATCCAAATGTGAAATCATCTCAGTCAGTCAACAAGTGATAAATGCAGTGAGAGCAAAACTACCAGGAGCAGCAGTCATTGCCCCCACAAATAGTGTCTTGCTAGGAGCACCTCTGGGAAGCAATGCCATTGACACAATTCTCAGGAAGAAATTGGAAGAGTTAAGGAGAATGGAACAACGAATAGGCAATCTGGACACCCACGATGCCTTGTACCTTCTCACAAAGTGCTTGAGTCTGCCCAGGTTGACATATTTCCTAAGATGTGCACCTTCATATGATAACCCTATACTGCACGAATATGACAGTATTCTGAGGCAGATTTTTACGAAAGTACTTAACCTTACTCTAGAAGACGGGCAGTGGAACCAAGCTACACTTCCAGTCAGACTAGGAGGCATTGGTGTCCGCAAGTCATCACAGATTGCGTTACCTGCTTTTCTGTCCTCGTGTATTGCATCCAGAGAGCTTGTAGCAGCGATTCTCCCTGAACATCTTAGGGACAAGGTAGGAGTCCAGGACCAAAAATTCATTGACGGAGCAATGATCTGGGATAATCTAACGGGCTCTGGAGCCAGACCTGCTCCCCCAACAACTACAAACAATCGCACTGGGATGGTCCAATAGTGGAAAATATTGCCTCAACAATGCTTCAGAGTGTGTCAGGGAAGGATAGAGCCCGCCTCCTGGCAGTGAGAGCCCCTCATGCTGGGGATTTTCTGTTGGCTGTTCCCAACTCCAGCCTTGGCACACGTCTCGACCACAGACCATCCGCATCGGTGTTGCCCTTCGACTTGCCGCCCCTATTCTCGCCGAACACAGGTGTATTTGTGGCAGTGAAGCAGCAGACCGATTCGGGTACCATGGTCTTGTGTGCCGTAAATCCGAGGGAAAGATTGCAAGACATGAGGAGGTTAATAACATTATCAAGAGGAGCCTCACAACAGCTGGATGCCCAGCAGTAAGGGAGCCACCCCAACTATGCAGATCTGATGGCAGCCAGAAGCGTCCAGATGGTATCACCCTTCAAGCCTGGACAGATGGGAAGCAGGTGGTGTGGGACTATACATGTGCATCTACCTTGGCTGATACCTATCTCCAATACACCAGGGAGGAAGGAGGGGCAGCTGCCAGCTTCAGGGAGTCCCAAAAGTCTAGAAAATATGGAGAACTTGCCCATCATTATATGTTTGTTCCCATAGGCTCAGAGACCCTTGGCTCATGGGGAAAGAGTGCATCTAAATTCCTTAAGGAGCTGGGAAAAAGACTCATCAGGGTAACTAGGGATCCCAGGGCAGCTAGTTTTCTGTTCCAGCGGCTCAGTGCGGCTGTTCAGAGGGGTAATGCCTGCTGTATTTTGGGCACACGCCCCAGCTCTGAGGAGCTGGATGAGATTTTCGCCTTATAATCGGTGATACACACGTAACAACATGCACCGTATATGCCACCTTTATATCAACAATGTATCTCTTAAATCTTCTGTACCATATTATGTAATAAAATATTCCTATTGGTAAAAAAAAAAAATATACTAAAAGATGGGGTGGTAGGGGAAGTGGAATATTCAAACGGCTTCAGGAAGAAATCCAAATCCAAATATTCTTCCTTGAAGTCTTTTTATGCACTTCTCCGAGGCAATGGGTCCCACAATTTACACCAGAGGTGGACCCCATCATATATATATATATATATATATAGTTAACGGTGAAAGAAGAAGTCCAGGAGACAGTACTCAGGAGACGACTACAATGTCTCTCACTCACTACTCGAGGTCGTCCTCCAGGAGACAGTACTCAGGAGACGACTACAATGTCTCTCACTCACCACTCGAGGTCGTCCTCCAGGAGACAGTACTCAGGAGACGACTACAATGTCTCTCACTCACCACTCGAGGTCGTCCTCCAGGAGACAGTACTCAGGAGACGACTACAATGTCTCTCACTCACTACTCGAGGTCGTCCTCCAGGAGACAGTACTCAGGAGACGACTACAATGTCTCTCACTCACCACTCGAGGTCGTCCTCCAGGAGACAGTACTCAGGAGACGACTACAATGTCTCTCACTCACCACTCGAGGTCGTCCTCCAGGAGACAGTACTCAGGAGACGACTACAATGTCTCTCACTCACTACAATGTCTCTCACTCACCACTCGAGGTCGTCCTCCAGGAGACAGTACTCAGGAGACGACTACAATGTCTCTCACTCACCACTCGATGTCGTCCTCCAGGAGACAGTACTCAGGAGACGACTACAATGTCTCTCACTCACTACAATGTCTCTCACTCACCACTCGAGGTCGTCCTCCAGGAGACAGTACTCAGGAGACGACTACAATGTCTCTCACTCACCACTCGAGGTCGTCCTCCAGGAGACAGTACTCAGGAGACGACTACAATGTCTCTCACTCACCACTCGACGTCGTCCTCCAGGAGACAGTACTCAGGAGACGACTACAATGTCTCTCACTCACCACTCGAGGTCGTCCTCCAGGAGACAGTACTCAGGAGACGACTACAATGTCTCTCACTCACCACTCGAGGTCGTCCTCCAGGAGACAGTACTCAGGAGACGACTACAATGTCTCTCACTCACCACTCGAGGTCGTCCTCCAGGAGACAGCACTCAAGAGATGTTTCTAACACCTCCTCCACAATCATCGTCGCATCACCTGATAAAGGTCTCAAAACCTTGAGATATAAAGTTATCTTCAAAGTAATTTGCAATTAAATGTTACTCTGGTAAGATGAATATTCTGTGTAATATTGATTTACTGTTACCACTGTATTACGACAGACTTACATTGGTGCCTCACTCATACACATTTAACATTGTAAAAGGAGTACAATAATATACGTGTGTGTGTACTCACCTAGTTGTACTCACCTAGTTGTGGTTGCAGGGGTCCAGTCCTAGCTCCTGGCCCCGCCTCTTCACTGGTCGCTACTAGGTCACTCTCCCTGAACCGTGAGCTTTATCATACCTCTGCTTAAAGCTATGTATGGATCCTGCCTCCACTACATCGTTTCCCAAACTATTCCACTTACTGACTACTCTGTGGCTGAAGAAATACTTCCTAACATCCCTGTGATTCATCTGTGTCTTCAACTTCCAACTGTGACCCCTTGTTACTGTACTCTGGAACATCCTGTCTCTGTCCACCTTGTCAATTCCTCTCAGTATTTTATATGTCGTTATCATGTTCCCCCCTATCTCTCCTGTCCTCCAGTGTATGTGTGTGTGTGTGTGTGTGTGTGTGTGTGTGTGTGTGTGTGTGTGTGTGTGTGTGTGTGTGTGTGTGTGTGTGTGTGCGACTCTGTTTATACCACATGCAAACGCTTGAAAGTTAGATGTGTGAGTCTACCGTCGATTCATATGTCTAGGATACATATAAATACATGTGTATGTGCTCGGACACATTCCTTTGATGACAGTGAAGGCTCTTGATCCAGTGAATTGGAGGTAACCTCCTTCTCTTCTCTCCTTGTTTGAGTCATATGTGGTTACCTGCCGTTCTGCAAGTGCTGTTTGACTCATACCGATTTAGCGCTCTTTGGCTCCTATGGGTTGAACACTCTAGCTATGAGTAATTTTAGGCTCTTTTCCCCACATGATAGACATGATAGACAGAGTGGGGGAAGACAGCAACTTCACACAGCTGTCTTCTCTGGTCCGTTCAAGGTAGATAGATCGAAATGTTCCGTCTTCCTGAAAGTAGATATGAAGTGTTGTCCGGACGAGTGGAAGTGGAAGGTGGTCCAGGTGCGGCCCTGGGCCACTTCAGGGCAGAGGCAGCAGAAGAGATGGCGATTGAAGCTCTTCCTGAAGGCGCCGCTGATGCAGTAGAGAGCGATGGGGTTGATACAAGAATTAACAAAACCCAAGCAGAAGCCAACGCAGCGGAAGGCATTCCAGAAGTGGTTGTAGTCCCTCTCTACGGTGGGGTTAAAGTAGAACCACATCAGAAAGACGTGGTTGGGGAAGTAGCAGATAGCAAAGATCACCACGAAGGCCAGTACCAGCTTCGCTACTTTCCTGCGGGCTGCGACGTGCTTGATGTGCTGTCGTTGATGCTGCGCTTCGCCAGGGAGTGCAGCTGCGGCCTGCATCAAATGACGTGCCATTAATATATAGAAAGTAGCAATGATACCCAGTGGTAGCATGTAGTATATGGTGAGTTTGGTGACCACGTTGATCCTTGGGTAGGAAGGTCCTAGGTACACGGGGAAGGGATTACACACGACGATCTTCCCGTTACCCGTATCCTCCGATCGCAGGTAGGAGAAGATGCCCGCAGGTGCGGCCAGGATGACCGCAAGCACCCATATACCTGCGGTGACGGCCACGGTGGTGCGGTGAGCTACCGCACCCGCACGCTTCCCCACCGGGTCGACGATAGCCAGGTAGCGGTCAGCACTGAGAGCCGTCAGAGTGAAGACTGTCACCCCCACTGATATATCCCTCATAAACTCCGACAGCCGACAGATCGTTTCGCCAAAGGGCCACCTTTCGGTGAAGTAGATGATCGAAACGAAGGGCACCGCAAAGATAACAACTAGCAAGTCTCCTAGTGCCAGGGAAAGTATGTACGTGTTAGGTACATTCCTCATGTTCGGATATTTAGCAAACATAAACACCAGCGTCCCGTTGCCGAACACCCCAACCACGAAGATAATTAGAAAGACGATAGGTACGATGTAGGTCTCAGGACGCTCATGGAGGGGGTAATATGGAGGTTCAGTAGGTGCCAGCACACTATTGTTACTCCAGAAAGTCTTGTTTGTTTCCACGACCTCCATTCTAGCGTCCACAAACCACACGTTCCTCGTACGTTCAATTCTCTTTATATACGTAAGTCTCCCCTCTTTATTTCTAGGAAAGAATGTACACTGAGATGTGTATGTTTCTTAGTGTATATACACTGGTAGTTTATTTTAGTCACTGTTTTAGGTATTAAAGTATTCTTGACTGGTGGTGTACAGGTGACATGCAGCCTTAATGACCCTCGTGTAGTAGATAGACTTTAAACCCCATTAACCAACCAACCAGCCTTAATGACCCTCGTGTAGTAGATAGACTTTAAACCCCATTAACCAACCAACCAGCCTTAATGACCCTCGTGTAGTAGATAGACTTTAAACCCCATTAACCAACCAACCAGCCTTAATACCCTCGTGTAGTAGATAGACTTTAAACCCCATTAACCAACCAACCAGCCTTAATGATCCTCGTATAGTAGATAACCTTAAAGCCCTATTAATCAACCGATAAGAATGTCTAGTGACCTTTCTCTGTGTACCTGTCACAGGAGTGAACCCCGAGTGACCTTACGTGGGTTCAGAGGTACACAAACAACAGTTCTAGACAGAAGGGAGGACGCTAAAAGCGCTCTGAGGATCACTCCTATTCCATTCTCTCCACTGAATGTGCCACAGGTAACTATCTCTCCAAAATCTACAACAGTCCTCTTTTCCTCTCTATTATTTCCCCTTTCTGTCTATTTTCTCCACCCCTTCTTCTATTTCTTGTCTTTCTCTGGTCTCATGAGCATTCACAAAAAAATATTTTCACAGATAATTCCCAACTTTTTCAATCGCTTTAGAGAAATTACGAGGTTTTCATAATAGTCACTCCTTGAATGTTGCTCCAGCTGCACCACAACAGAAAACGAGGGTAGGCTCGCCGTGACGTCACCAGTAGGCCTAGCACACACCTAAAAATAGAGAGAAATGAATTGTAGTTGAAATATCAATGAGATTTTGAGTTACATATTTATTTTTACTATATAATTTATCCCAATGATAATAATATTGATAAAAATAATTAATAATAATAATGATGATGATCTGGTGATCCTCTGAGGGGGATGGTGTAGGCTCGATCCTCCGTTGATAGATACAGGGGAAGAAGAGAGAGAGAGAGAGAGAGAGAGAGAGAGAGAGACAGAGAGAGAGAGACAAAGAGAGAGAGAGAGACAGAGAGAGAGAGACAGAGAGAGAGAGAGAGAGACAGAGAGAAAGATGAACAACCTCCTTGCTAATGGTGCTAATATCTGCATACTCCTATGTCATGAATAATATTCCTCTCTCTCTCTCTCTCTCTCTCTCTCTCTCTCTCTCTCTCTCTCTCTCTCTCTCTCTCTCTCTCTCTCTCTCTCTCTCTCTCTCTCTCTCTCGGAACTTGACTGACAGGAGTGACACTGGTCTGTAGCTGTTAATTTCCGCTCTGATCTTTTTGAGAACAGGAGTAACATTTGCCTCTCTCCACGGGAAAGGTCGTCAGGGAAGACTTTCTATCCATCTATCTTTCTCTCGATTTATCTATCTCTCTATTTATCTAGCTATTTGTCTCTCTCTCTATCTGTCTATTTATATGTATATATATATATATATATATATATATATATATATATATATATATATATATATATATATATATATATATATATATATATATATGTATATATATATATATATATATATATGTCTCTGTACCTCATCTTCCATCTTCTGTGTCGTCTACGTATATAAGGAACTTTCGTAAGAACCAGGGACAGTGTCCCACGTCGGAGATTGTTAGCTTAAATAATGTCACGGGATACGGATGGGTAACTGTCAGGAGAGTGGAGCAGTGACTGGATCACCGTCAGCAGGTAGCGAGTAGAGTTTAAAACCGGGTAGTTTGCCAGTGTAACGAGGTAGTCAGGTTTGGTGTTGCAAGCAACAAGGGGCGTTACAGCAAGTCACAATACCCCGGCTGTAAAAATTAACAATAACATACATACATACATACATACATACATACATACATACATACATACATACATACATACATACATACATACATACATACATACATACATACATAAATACATACATATTACTGTAACCACGAACGAGTAGTATTGATTTCAACAACACTGCGACTAGCTAAGGACTCGAACCCAGGCCACTTTGGCCCGCCTCATGGTGAACGAAAACGCATGATGCTCTAACCCAGAGGACCACGTAATCCTACAAGAATGATTACAATAGTCCCACTCCACAAAGGGGGCAGTAAAGCAACAGCAAAGAACTACAGACCGATAGCACTAACATCCCATATCATAAAAATCTTTGAAAGGGTCATAAGAAGCAAGATCACCACCCATCTAGAAACCCATCAGTTACACAACCCAGGGCAACATGGGTTTAGAACAGGTCGCTCCTGTCTGTCTCAACTATTTGATCACTACGACAAGGTCCTAGATGCACTAGAAGACAAAAAGAATGCAGATGTAATATATACAGACTGCAAAAGCCTTCGACAAGTGTGACCATGGCGTAATAGCGTGGCTTACATACTGCGCTGAGATGAGTTGAAGCAGGAGGAGGCGGGATCACAGTGGGACCTGCCACTAGTGTAAGTAGGTCGTCGTCCAAAGGTTGGGCAACCTTTGGACGACAACCTACTTACACTAGTGGCAGGTCCCACTGTGATTCCGCCTCCTCCTGCTTCAACTCATCTCACCGCAATATATAAGCCACCTCTCTGGCCCTATGCTGCACATCCTACAAGAGTGATGGACTGAACACATCGATTCTAGGTTGAGGGACTGATTACCTGAAACTTCTACTCTCCTTACCCACTTCTACTTTGTATTGGACTGATGAAGCCACTGTGTGGCGAAACGTTTCTTCAATAAAGATTCCCAAGTGTTGCATAAGTGTCTCAATTCTTCAACTTGTTGGTTTTCAAAACCATTCATCACATGGCGTAATAGCGCACAAAATGCGTGCTAAAGGAATAACAGGAAAAGTCGGTCGATGGATCTATAATTTCCTCACTAACAGAACACAGAGAGTAGTAGTCAACAGAGTAAAGTCCGAGGCAGCTACGGTGAAGAGCTCTGTTTCACAAGGCACAGTAATCGCTCCCATCTTGTTCCTCATCCTCATATCTGACATAGACAAGGATGTCAGCCACAGCACCGTGTCTTCCTTTGCAGATGACACCCGAATCTGCATGACAGTGTCTTCCATTGCAGACACTGCAAGGCTCCAGTCGGACATCAACCAAATCTTTCAGTGGGCTGCAGAAAACAATATGAAGTTTAACGATGAGAAATTTCAATTACTCAGATATGGCAAACACGAGGAAATTAAATCTTCATCAGAGTACAAAACAAATTCTGGCCACAAAATAGAGCGAAACACCAACGTCAAAGACCTGGGAGTGATCATGTCGGAGGATCTCACCTTCAAGGACCATAACATTGTATCAATCGCATCTGCTAGAAAAATGACAGGATGGATAATGAGAACCTTCAAAACTAGGGATGCCAAGCCCATGATGACACTCTTCAGGTCACTTGTTCTATCTAGGCTGGAATATTGCTGCACACTAACAGCACCTTTCAAGGCAGGTGAAATTGCTGACCTAGAAAAATGTACAGAGAACCTTCACGGCGCGCATAACGGAGATAAATCACCTCAATTACTGGGAGCGCTTGAGGTTCCTAAACCTGTATTCCCTGGAGCGCAGGCGGGAGAGATACATGATTATATACACCTGGAAAATCCTAGAGGGACTAGTACCGAACTTGCACACGAAAATCACTCACTACGAAAGCAAAAGACTTGGCAGACGATGCACCATCCCCCCAATGAAAATCAGGGGTGTCACTAGCACGTTAAGAGACCATACAATAAGTGTCAGGGGCCCGAGACTGTTCAACTGCCTCCCAGCATACATAAGGGGGATTACCAACAGACCCCTGGCAATCTTCAAGCTGGCACTGGACAAGCACCTAAAGTCGGTTCCTGACCAGCCGGGCTGTGGCTCGTACGTTGGTTTGCGTGCAGCCAGCAGCAACAGCCTGGTTGATCAGGCTCTGATCCACCAGGAGGCCTGGTCACAGACCGGGCCGCGGGGGCGTTGACCCCCGGAACTCTCTCCAGGTAAACTCCAGGTAATAATACATAATACTGCTCGTTAGACTAGTACACCAAACGGAGGAGAATGAAATTAGCTCAGAGGCGTCCACACCACCGTATGTCCTCGGATGACTCTGAAACGCCTAGCTTGGCTGGGTGCGTCATTATTGTAGGATTGCGTGGTCCTGTGGGTTCGCTCACCATGATGCGGGCCAAAGCAGCATGAATTCGAGTCCTTGGATAGTCGCAGTGTTGCTATTGATATATATATATATATATTATATATATATATATATATATATATATATATATATATATATATATATATATATATATATATATATATATATATTATATATATATATATTGCATTTTCCCTTCTGAAAACTTTAGAGGATTAATGAATCCGAGTCAAGTGTTGACGTTCTTGTAGAGAGAGCAGAATAATCCGTCTTTTACACGGTGAATCAGGATTATTATTCGACTGGGTTTCAAGAACGTGGGTTTGTGTGTCTGTGTGTTCGTATTTGCCTGGCTTTGATGGGTTTTTTGTATCAAGCCACTTTGACCTACTGATGGGAGAGAGAGTCTTGAAAACTGCTGTAAAATGGAGGATTCTCTCTCTCTCTCTCTCTCTCTCTCTCTCTCTCTCTCTCTCTCTCTCTCTCTCTCTCTCTCTCTCTCTCTCTCTCTCTCTCTCTCTCTCTCTCTCTCTCTCTCTCTTGGTCTTCTATTTGGTGTGTATTCACTTTTAAACTCTCTCTTGGCTGCGTGACCCCTTCATACCAATCCATGAAACTGTGTATGGTTCCTGCCTTCATTGGTTTGCTGTCAAAGTCATTCCACTTTTTGTTCAGTCTGGAGCTGAGGAAGTAATTCCGGACATCTCCTGACTTGTCTGTGTGCTTGTAAATTCCAGCTCTGTGCTCTTGTGTACCTGTGTGTGTGTGTGTGTGTGTGTGTGTACTCACCTAGTTGTGGTTACAGGGGACGAGACTCAGCTTCTGGCCCCGCCTCTTCACTGGTCGCTACTAGGTCACTCATCCTGCTCCATGAGCTTTATCATACCTCTTCTTAAAGCTGTCTATGGATCTTGCGTCCACTGCATCACTTCCCAGACTATTCCACTTCCTGACTACTCTGTGACTGAAGAAATACTTCCTAACATCCCTGTGATTCATTTAAGTCTTCAGCTTCCAGTTGTGTCCCCTTGTTACTGTGTCCAATCTCTGGAATATCCTGTCTCTGTCCACCTTGTCAATTCCTCACAGTATTTTGTATGTCGTTATCATGTCCCCCCTATCTCTCCTGTCTTCCAGTGTCGTCAGGTTGATTTCCCTTAACCTCTCCTCGTACGACATACCCCTTAGCTCCGGGACTAGTCTTGTTGCAAACCTTGCACTTTCTCTAGTTTCTTTACGTGCTTGGCTAGGTGTGGGTTCCAAACTGGTGCCGCATACTCCAATATGGGCCTAACGTACACGGTGTACAGGGTCCTGAACGATTCCTTATTAAGATGTCGGAATGCTGTTCTGAGGTTTGCTAGGCGCCCATATGCTGCAGCAGTTATTTGGTTGATGTGCGTTTCAGGAGATGCGCCTGGTGTTATACTCACCCCAAGATCTTTTTCCTTGAGTAAGGTTTGTAGTCTCTGGCCCCCTAGAATGTACTCCGTCTGCGGTCTTCTTTGCCCTTCCCCAATCTTCATGACTTTGCACTTGGTTAGGTTGAACTCCAGGAGCCACTTGCTGGACCAGGCCTGTAGCCTGTCCAGATCCCTTTGTAATTCTGCCTGGTCCTCGTCCGATTGAATTTTTCTCGTCACCTTCACATCATCTGCAAACAGGGACACCTCGGAGTCTATTCCTTCCGTCATGTCGTCCACAAATACCAGAAACAGTACCGCTCCTTGGACTGACCCCTGTGGGACCCCGCTCGTTACAGGCGCCCACTCTGACACCTCGCCACGTACCATGACTCGCTGCTGTCTTCCTGACAAGTATTCCCTGATCCACTGTAGTGCCTTCCCTGTTATACCTGCCTGGTCCTTCATGCTTATGCACTAATCTCTCGTGTGGAACTGTGTCAAACTCCTTCTTACAGTCCAAGAAACTGCAATCTACCCACCCCTCCCTCTCTTGTCTTACTGCCGTCACCCTGTCATAGAACTCCAGTAGGTTTGTGACGAAGGATTTCCCGTCCCTAAAACCGTGCTGGTTGTCATTGATAAGCTCATTCCTTTCTAGGTGCTCCATCACTTTTCTCCTAATAATCTTCTCCATGACTTTCCATACTATACATGTCAGTGACACTGGTCTGTAGTTTAATGCTTCATGTCTGACTCCTTTTTTTAAAAATCGTCACTACATGTGCTGTCTTCCATACTTCAGGTAGTCGCCCTGTTTCGATAGATGTGATGATTGTTGTTAGTGATACACATAGTGCCTCTGCTCCCTCTCTCAATACCCATGGGGAGATGTTATCTGGCCGCATCGCCTTTGAGGTATCTAGCTCACTTAGCAGCCTCTTCACTTCTTCCTCGGTTGTGTGCACTGTGTCCAGCACTTGGTGGTGTACCCCACCTCTCCGTCTTTCTGAAGTCCCTTCTGTCTCCTCTGTGAACACTTCTTTGTGCGTGTGTATGTGTGCGTGTGTATGTGTGCGTGTGTATGTGTGCGTGTGTATGTGTGCGTGTGTATGTGTGCGTGTGTATGTGTGCGTGTGTATGTGTGTGTGTGTGTGTGTATGTATGTGTGTGTGTGTGTGTGTGTGTGTGTGTGTGTGCGTGTGTGTGTGTGTACGTGTGTATGTGTGCGTGTGTATGTGGTGTGTGTGTGTGTGTGTGTGTGTGTGTTGTGTGTGTGTGTGATGTGTGTGTGTGTGTGTTGTGTGTGTATGTGTGTGCGTGTGTGTGTGTGTTTGAACACACACAAACAAGGAGGAAATTAATCGCCTTACCCCTCACATCTTACAGAAAAACAAATAAATCAACCTTGTAATCCACCTCCGGATTTAATATATAAGGATTAAGAGACGGTGCATGAAACTCATCACGTGGATGAACCTAAGAGGATTATACAATGCTCATACTGTAATGAAATTTTATGTATTGCGTGTATAACACCATTGTATGACAGAGAGTATAACGGCAGCGTATGTCATATATAGTATGTATATATATATATATATATATATATATATATTATATAATATATATATATATATATATATATATATATATATATATATATATATTACACATATATATATATATTATATATATATATATATATATATATATATATATATATATATATATATTTTTATATATATATATATATATATATGCAAAACAACCACTCTGAAAGAATAGAGAAATTCCAAGCGCTTTCGTGACTACTCACATTATCAAGGAAATATGTGAGTAGTTCACGAAAGCGCTTGGAATTTCTCTATTCTTTCAGAGTGTTGTTTGCATATTCTGAAATCACTGTTTACTGTGTCTTATTGCATATATATATATATATAATATATATATATATATGTATATATATATATATATATATATATATATATATATATATATATATATATATATATATATATATATATATATATTATATATATAAATATATATATGATGCGAGTTAATATATGTTTAATTTTTCGTGTTGCAATCAACACATTCTGAGAAGCTTGCAATGTTGCAGAAAAGAGGAGGTCCAGGTAGATGCTGTCACAAGGAGCTTCTGTATCTAATTATCATAATTAAGTTAAGAATAATATGTTTGGAGATCTTGAGACTGGTCCTGGTTCTGTACTGGTTCCTGGTTCTGGTCTGTTCCTGGTTCTTGGTTCTGGTTCTGGTTCCTGGTTCTGGCTGGCTCCTGGTTTCCTGGCTCCTGGTTCCTGGTTCCTGGTTCCTGGCTCCTGGTTCCTGGTTCCTGGTTCCTGGTTCCTGGCTCCTGGCTCCTGGTTCCTGGTTCCTGGTTCCTGACTCCTGGTTCCTGGCTCCTGGCTCCTGGTTCCTGGTTCCTGGCTCCTGGTTCCTGGCTCCTGGCTCCTGGCTCCTGGCTCCTGGCTCCTGGTTCCTGGCTCCTGGCTCCTGGTTCCTGGCTCCTGGCTCCTGGCTCCTGGATCCTGGCTCCTGGCTCCTGGTTCCTGGCTCCTGGCTCCTGGCTCCTGGCTCCTGGATCCTGGCTCCTGGCTCCTGGTTCCTGGATCCTGGCTCCTGGTTCCTGGCTCCTGGTTCCTGGCTCCTGGCTCCTGGCTCCTGGTTCCTGGCTCCTGGCTCCTGGCTCCTGGATCCTGGCTCCTGGCTCCTTGTTCCTGGCTCCTGGCTCCTGGCTCCTGGCTCCTGGATCCTGGCTCCTGGCTCCTGGCTCCTGGCTCCTGGCTCCTGGATCCTGGATCCTGGCTCCTGGCTCCTGGTTCCTGGCTCCTGGCTCCTGGCTCCTGGCTCCTGGTTTCTGGCTCCTGGCTCCTGGCTCCTTGCTCCTGGCTCCTGGTTTCTGGCTCCTGACTCCTGGCTCCTGGCTCCTGGATCCTTGCTCCTGGCTCCTGGTTCCTGGCTCCTGGCTCCTGGCTCCTGGCTCCTGGCTCCTGGTTTCTGGCTCCTGGCTCCTGGCTCCTGGCTCCTGGTTTCTGGCTCCTGGCTCCTGGTTCCTGGCTCCTGGTTTCTGGCTCCTGGCTCCTGGTTCCTTGCTCCTGGTTCCTGGCTCCTGGCTCCTGGTTCCTGGCTCCTGGTTCCTGGCTCCTGGCTCCTGGCTCCTGGCTCCTGGTTTCTGGCTCCTGGCTCCTGGCTCCTGGCTCCTGGTTTCTGGCTCCTGGTTCCTGGCTCCTGGCTCCTGGTTCCTGGTTCCTGGCTCCTGGCTCCTGGTTCCTGGCTCCTGGCTCCTGGCTCCTGGCTCCTGGCTCCTGGCTCCTGGTTCCTGGCTCCTGGTTCCTGGCTCCTGGTTCCTGGCTCCTGGCTCCTGGCTCCTGGCTCCGGGTTTCCCTGGCTCCTGGTTCCTGGCTCCTGGCTCCTGGCTCCTGGTTCCTGGCTCCTGGCTCCTGGTTCCTGGTTCCTGGTTCCTGGCTCCTGGCTCCTGGCTCCTGGTTCCTGGCTCCTGGCTCCTGGTTCCTGGCTCCTGGCTCCTGGCTCCTGGCTCCTGGTTCCTGGCTCCTGGCTCCTGATTCCTGGCTCCTGGCTCCTGGTTCCTGGCTCCTGGCTCCTGGCTCCTGGCTCCTGGCTCCTGGCTCCTGGCTCCTGGTTCCTGGCTCCTGGTTCCTGGCTCCTGGCTCCTGGCTCCTGGCTCCTGGTTCCTGGCTCCTGGCTCCTGGCTCCTGGTTCCTGGTTCCTGGTTCCTGGCTCCTGGTTCCTGGCTCCTGGCTCCTGGCTCCTGGCTCCTGGCTCCTGGTTCCTGGCTCCTGGTTCCTGGCTCCTGGTTCCTGGCTCCTGGTTCCTGGTTCCTGGCTCCTGGCTCCTGGCTCCTGGCTCCTGGCTCCTGGCTCCTGGTTCCTGGCTCCTGGCTCGGTGATTTATTCAAATTCTAAATTCTAAGAATACCAACCTAATTTTTTTGATGTTTCGAGTCTGGAAAATAGAAATAAAAAAGTGTGCCGTTGCTATCTCAATATTTTCATTTAAATTCTTCAGGAATTTATAATGTTTTCTTTTATTTAAATCCCTGAGGAATTTATTCTGTTTTATTTAAATCCATGAAGGATTTATTCTTCAGGGATAAATCCACTGTGAAAAAATAATGAACTTCCATGAGCTTTCGTAATTTCTCACATCTTCAAGAATCTTTAAAAATAAAATATCATCAGAATTTATATAAGGATTATTATTATTATTATTATAATGACAGGAGCGCTAAACCCGTAGTATTATACAGCGCATGTGGGGGGATGGAAGGTATTCAGGCTCAATTCAGGGAACTGGAGCACAGATCCAATTCCCTAGATCAAGAGCCCCTCACCAGCATCAAGGAACCTTCGTTGAGGGGTATATAAGGAGGAGATTACAGCTCTCGGTCAATATAGAACACCTGACCCGTCCCTTTGTGAAGATGTGGGTGAGGTGGTCAAGGACCTGTCCGACACAGCTTATATTCTGTCTAAATTTTAAGATTTTAACTTGTCGGATATATATTAAATTCTTCCAAAATTTTATTATTTATAAATGAATGCAATTTGTATAATCCTAAAGCAAATATTTATAGTAATTTGATTCTATTATATTCCAGTCGACTAATGCACTTTGATACAACTTTCTCAGAATTTTGAAAATCAATTAGATGGTTAAAATCTCTTACATGAATAAATAGAGCATTGGAATCTTGTCCAGTTCTAATGCTATATTTATGTTGTTTTAATCTTAGTTCGAGATTTTTACCAGTTTGACCGTAATAAACTTTATCGCAAATTTTACAAGGAATCTTATAGACACATCCATCAGCATTTTGGGGGGAATTCTTTATCAAAAGTTTTTTTTACTGTATCAAGATTTTTGAATACAACTTTAATATTAAAAGTCTTAAGAAGAGAAGGCATATCAACCAAGTTTTCATGGTAAGGGAGAACCAACATATTTTTAGTTGAATAAGGCTGGTTGTCCCTTTTTGGATTGTAAAAAGTATTTCTGGCCATTTTTAAGGATTTATCAAGTATGTTTTTTGGATATTTTAGATCATTAGCTATTTCAAAAATCTTCAAGATTTCTTCACCTGTGAACTCTGGGATGCAAACGTCTCAAAAAACTTGAATATAAATATAAAAAATATATATATATAATAAAATTATATATATATATAAAAATATATAAAATTTAAATATAATATAAATTCGGTAACTACAAGAAGAATGGAGCTGCTACCTTCCAGAAACCACTTCGAGCCCCACATAGCGTAAGTCATCTTTTTAAAATACAACTCTTAAAAGAACCTCAATGAAGCACACATCCATTCATTTTTTCAAGAAAAATATTTTTTCATTTCCCCAAAAAAAATACAAAAAATAATTGTACCCGAGAAAAAATTTTTTCAATATTAATTCAATTTCCGAAAAAAAATTATATATAAATATTTTATATATATATATATATATAATATAAAATATATATTTTAAAAAATATAAAAATATATAATATAAGAACATTACAAAATAAAAAATTAAAATATAATAAAAAATAATAATAATAAAATAATAATAATAACATTAAAACTGAGTCAAAAAAGGAGAATTTATGTGCACTGCTAGCAGATTTTTTACTCCCAGAGGGGAATCTAGGCCTATGTCCCGGGGAAAAAATAATAAATAATTGAATTTTAAAGTCAGGGAAAGAAAGCCCTCCCTGATACATTGAGAAACATAGTGTATAGTGATACACAGTGTCCCTAGTAATTGATGAAAAGGCAAAAAGTGTCATTTGAAAACGGGTGAATTTGAAAAAAGAAGGATAAGCCTATAGGGGAAAGGGGCCAAAATTCCCCAAAACTTACCACAGGTCCTGTTTTTAATAATCTTCCGGGCCTGCTAGTGTACTCGCAATAACTAGTTCCAGTGAATCAGAATACGTGCTGTATAGCAACTAACCATATTATAAGGGACTTAGGGGAGTGATGACTTCATTAGTTTCTTTTCTTGAAATACGAGACGTTACTGTGAATTTCATATACCTTATTTACCACGGTCGCATATACACAACGAGAAGCAATTATTACTACAAAAAAAGCGCCTTCCCCCAAAAATTTCCCAGTCAACTATAGTGATAATAAAGCATTTTTTGCGGGGGAGACAAAAAAAAAAAAAAAAAAAAAAAAAAAAATAGAAAACCCCGATACAGCATTGAAAAAAAAGGGAGGTGACCGTTCGCCCCATTTGGGAGCTGCCAGATATCACCGCCTTAAACACGCAAGTTATCTTTGTATCAGTAAAATCAAATTACTGGGGTAGAAAAATTTTCCAGTAATCCTTCAGTTTAGCCAAATCACCGCCCATATTTTTTTAAATAAGTGACCCCCCCTGATCAAGCAATCGACGGCCCAAAAACCCTCGTCGGTCCGAACCCTTGACGGCCAAACCCCCTTGACGGGTCCAACCCCTTGACTGGTCGAAACCCCCGGGAAAACGGTTTCAAACAGTTTCGTTGGACAATAAAAGCAGACTGTAAACGGAGGGGGTTTGTGGGGCGCCCTAAAACACAAACATTAAAAATCAGGAACGTGACGGTAAGCGTCCAAAAACAAAAAAATTAAAAACAAAAATACAAATAGCAAGCTTCATTTAAAGGTTTTTAATTAAATTCAAGAGGTTGCTATAAATTGCAGTAATCAACCATTAAAAACATTATGAAGCCGTGTGTAGTCTGGGGGCATAAAACCAAAAAACGGGCTCCACAGGAAAAATTTGCATTTTTGTGGAAATTGGTGTCACCCCCTTTCAGATATCCCAGAACAGCTACAACAGTTTTAAAACAGAAAAAGGTTTCGGGGATCCCCAAATGAGGAAAATCTGTGGACTAAAATCACAAGGGTAAAAAAAAAAAGGGCAACATCAAAGCTGCTTTCATAGAAAACCGGAAGCTTTCTACAACAGATGGAAATAAAAATCTGGGCTGAATGGACTAACCCTTGATAAAGGCCATGATCCCCCAAACTGTAAACTGGAGGTGATTCCCCCGGGAGACAGTAATAGTAAGGGTGGAGTCGCCTGGGAGCAGTAAGGGGAAGCTGGAGGGGCTGTCCGGAGACAAAATGGGGAAGCGGAGATACGTCCCCGGGGGAATAATATAAACTGGAGATTTTGCCAGGTAGGGGGAAAATACCAGGGAAGGAATACATATAAATGACCCCATAAGAAAAGGGCCATAGTAGGAAACAAGTTATCAAAGATAAGAAAAAACCCAAAATTTTAAACTAGAAAACCGCAGGAAAAAAACAAACAAGAGGGCTCCAATAGCAATATGAGGATAAATTACCAAAAACAACTGGGGGAGCT